TTCGGAAAGGCTGAATAGAAAAGCCAAAGGAAACGAACAAACTTTCTGAAGGCAGTGTTAAACCAGAGGTTAGTCATGCAGATAATCCAAATACGTAACGATGAATGCTTTCGACTCACATTTTTTTGTAATGGAGTATGGAATTGAGAAAGGGAATGAAAAATCTTACATAAGTTATGAAAGAAGCTCCTTTATGTCTAGTATGTTCCACTCGTCAAAACGCAAATTAAATTGTCCTGTGTGCGTAGTAGGAACATAACACTAAACATTACGTACTAACCTTTGCACCAGGAAATCTGTATAAGAGTGCTCTCGTAGAATCCATTTTTTTACCCACTGCTCAAATCCATTAATCTCCGCTGATCGTTTTTCAGTGGTATCATTTGTGTTAGATGTCCTTCACTCTTTTTAATTGTTGTATATCACACACATATATATACACATGAATTGCTTTTATTTCTTTTCAACGTATAAAATTTTTGACATGATGGTTTCTCCAAGTGGAGTTCGGCGTGCATAGGGGACAATCAGAAGTTTCGATGAGCAAAAACCCAGAACGGTTTTTACGGTTGATCCCAAAGTAGGTTACTTAATTTGACCTTTTTTCTTAAGCCCTGCAATACATGTACACAATAAGGTCCTCTCCTGGAGTTAACAATTGAAGATCCTTTTCTACGTTAAAAAACTCAATTTTATGGCGACAAACGCATTAAAAAAAAGACCTTGGGTATCCTTTTGCCCCCACATATTACAGTTTTTACATGATGTATTAATTAAGTGTTCTACTATATAATTTATAAGTATTACACCTTGCTTTTTTTTAAAATCATGTTGCAAGTCGATGTAATTGAAAATTTAGTTAGTGGACTGTTGCTATAAAGGTTCAACTTTTACCGGGGTTGTTTTGTTTTTTCGTCTGGCCGATTAAAGTGTCTATTAAAAAAGGTCATACAAATGTTGTTGTAATTTTTTGTATTACCCAGCCTATTTTAAGTGCAGAAGTGGACGCTGATAACAATTTTTGCGATTCACTGGTTTTTATTTCGTTAAGTGTTACTGAAGTTCGTGGGGGCAGTGTTCCAGAGTGCGGCACGTTTGGTACATTTGGATGTTCAGAAAGATACTGTAACTCGCACTTGTAGATTGACGATTTGCCACAAGATCATTTTTGGCAATGCTGTATAGGAAAACAAGTCAATATATAACTTATCGAGAACACAAAAGTTTACTTACCCTTAATATATGTCGAGATGACTCCTTTGGGTTGATATCACGCTTGGTAGCAAAAAGGGGCGTTTCTTCAAGATCTAATGTCATAGCTAATAAAACGTTCGACCACTTCCAGTTTGTAGAGTTCCACGTCTGATTATTCAAAGCCCAGGAGCCATATTTGGCAATGAACTGTTCGATACTTTTTTGAGAGGTGTTTTCTACTTGCTCTTCATTCATGCAATCCTTGAAATATCTCTTTGCCTTCTTCACTGCGTGCTTGCCAGGGAAGTTGTCATCTTCATCTAAAAGATCTCGTAATTTCAGAAAGTTCTGTTCATCTAGTACAATGAAAGCGTCGTACATGGTCCTTGAAGGGGGAATGGGGTGGTCTTTTTTCCAAGAACCACACGAATACTGATAAAAATTATCACAAGGATTGACAGACCTGTTCAAGTTCCTGGTGAAATCAGCTGCAATTCGTAAGCACTCAGCGGTGTAACAATACTCCTTCTGTGTGATATCGGACGGTGGTGGCCTTCCTTTGACTGTCTGCTGCTGCTTCTTCTTCACTTCTTTAGCGAGGAAAATGCTCAGCACAACGCAAGCAATGACCAACATGGTAATGAGCACCAGGGAAACAATTAGGTATGTCCTAGTTCTTGGGAAGCCGGTGTCGGATCGTGAATCATCGCTCTTCTTTCTATTCTTGTTAATTCCTAGTGTTTCGGTGCTTTTGGATCTCATGGTATCGTCCCAATCATTCATATTGTACGACATTTTACAACGACCTCTATCAATTTCGTGACGATTCAAAGTAAAATCCTCAAAGTTTAACTAGAACCCCAGAACAAGCCTCCACAAATCACCCACTGGGATCTGTCACGGCTACTAAGCAGACCTACTCAGCTATAGCTGCCGATCTGACACGCCCGGGGGTACTCCATATAACAGCTTTTAGGGGGAGGCTCCGCAAGAAAGGGGTACCTTTTTCAAGCTTCAGGTATATGATAGGGGCGGGATTTCACTAGCTGAAGTATATAAAAATTAAGGGTAGGGAATTTTGTCGTTTTGGACTGTAGAAGGCCCTAAAGCCCTAACAGATGCATTATATGGCTGTAAAGAAGTCGAGAAGACGTTCAAGTTTGAGGTTTATTCAGATCTTAGAGAGGGTGCATTTACATCAGTTCAAATGATGCAAAGTTTTAAACTAGGTAAGTGACATTTGTTGATAGAAGATATACGAAGGGGGTACCTTTTCTGCAATAAAAGAGTAAAGGGTTGGACTTAGGTGCGGAGCCTCTCCGTGTAAAACTTTGTTGGGTACCCCCCCGGTCTGACACCACCATTGGATAAATTGGAGTCATAGTGCTAAATAACCACAGTGTTGGGCATGATAAAATGCTAAACAATGCGGAAAGTACACTTAATCCATACTTGACTTAATGCGGCTCTGATCACTTTTTTGTAGAATAAGTAGCAAAATGAAACAGTTTCACGCGATTCTTGCTAGTCATATATAGGTCTTTTAAATTAATGTTTATTCTCAGGTATCACCAAACAAAGAGAAAGAATCATGAGTAAACTGAAGTAAAAGGGAGCTTAAAGTTAATATAGACTGTCCTCGTATGATCGTTTCATTTGCTTTAAGAATCCCAATTAAAACAGCGGCTTTTATTTCATAGAATTACACTTTCATGTCAATGTTGGTAATTTTTTTATTTTGTTGCTATGCCTTTTTTTTTTATGAACAATGAGTACGATCTGTGAGAAGGGATTTGTATCATTCTCAGCACACTTAAAAGCAATCCATCACGTCTAAAAGTTTACTACGCTTGTAATCTTTTGTCAAAATCGTCTTTTTAGGTGGTGACAGTTAGTTATCCTTCTTCATGATGCCACTCCCCCTATGTACAGCACCCCCCCGTGGGAAAAATTTGGAAACTGCGACGAATCTTCAATGGCAAAAAAAAAAAAAACAAAAACAGTACGAATCTGATAAGTTTAAATCTGTGCTATATCACACCGCGGTCTAACGGTGAGCAAGTGTTTGTAGTATCAGTTTCTGGGCATGAGCGTCAAATGTGGAATGACCTCTCTAATCGACTGTTTAGCTAGGAGTAAGTATTACGCAGCTATGATAGCTTAAAATGATGGGGTCAGTGACCTGATGGAAGCCATCGGCGTTAGGAAGAAAGCTATTTAAAAAGCTATTCAAATATTACCTTAGCATGATGGCGTTTATAAACTGAGATTAATGGGGCTATATCACGATATGCTACGTCAATATTTAATAGCGTTCAAAATGAACTTGAATTTGAAAGAAACCTCAAAATATTAGTAGAAAAAACAAGGGGTAATACTGATAAACTATAAAAAAAGACAAAAGTATGGTTAAGGATAGACGGTGTCAACACTGAAGCGTTACAAACTACAATCTTAAAAAAAAGCGAAAGAAGAAGCATCAACTGAGAGGAACATTTCGTCGACCTTTCATGCAGTTGTCCGCTAATTGTCAATCTTCTTGAAACGTGAATTCTGTCATGAGTTATGTGAAATCTTGTTTGATAAGTTTCTTCAGCGTTAGGTAAGAGGATTAGCACCTCCATAATTCTGTTTGCACAACACGAAGGTATTTAAGGATTTATTACAAAATGAGGGTCGGAATTCTCAGTGTTGCATGTGCAACCTTCTTGAATCCTCCGTACGGAGCTTTGCCTTGCCGAAGATATTTTGCAAGATTGTCAATGAAAGTCTTTTTTGATTAGTTCGATCGGGAATTACAAAGTTCAGCAATATTTGCAAAATCCTTAGCTTGTGTCCTTGTTTGTTTTAGTTACCAATATGGTATTGCGAAATAGAATGTTATGAAAAGGATCAAAGTTAAGTAACTGAATAGTAATCATTTCCGATTTCTGTTATCCCATAAGCAACTCCTTATTTCTCGGCGGAAACGAATTAAGTTTTTTCACGGATCGGACGGAAGATCTGCCGTATTCGTAAAGGCAGAGCATCCATCAAATGATGGTTAGCAAAATTTGTGGTCCTTTTTTTCATATGATGAATTCGTTTCTTTGTGATTCAAGCACACGTTTCAGTCTTTGGCAAATGAAAACTAAAGGCGAAATTTAGTTGAGAAGGTTCGAACCCTTTCTTTGGTTTGTCGTTTGAACCTATTAAGATATAAGTGCAAATACTGCCTTCCGCAGTCAAATTAGTATAGGCAATAGCATGATTTGTAATGGTATCTGCCATAAATACCACGAGTGATATTTCGAAATTGTTATACGTAATTTCACGAGCCGTTAGGCTAGCCCAGGTTTATAATATTTCCTTTTCCTGAATTTTCATATAGTCTTTTAGAATTCAACTCAAGAAAAATTTGCCAACATTTGACGAATTGAGCGAGATGGAATAAGCGCGAGAAAGTTTGAAGCAGTGCGAGGTCACTTTGTAAGTAACGTTTTCGTAGGCGTCGCCCTCTTCGTTGCTTAAGCTCCTTATAAAAAGGGACAGGACAGACTATCACACGTACTACAGTAGGAATAATTAAACAAATAGCCGCAATATTTCATCAAGAAATCTTAATTATGTGTCAAAAATATTTTCCATTTTATTTACAATCAAGATATTATACCTCTGAAGAATAAGTTAACGAAACCATCATATTTACATTCATTTGTAACTGTTATCATTTCATACTAAAAGTCATTCTAACAGTGAGTGTCCAAGAGGGAGTGCCACTGACAGGACTTGCTAGATATATTTCGACCGCTCTTCCGCTCCGCCAAGAAACCTGAACGTTTCTGAGCACCAGTCCAATCCATCGGCAACCGCGTCCCCAGAGTGAGGTTGGTCCATCGGCTTTTGTGTGCTACTGTCGAACGTCAATCAAACTCGTCGATTTCATACCTAAGGTAAAAAGCAAAAGCAAAAAGTCAAAAGAAGTGTGACCAGGCTGGTACCCTGAAACGTTTTTGTGTAGAGTTGGTGTTGTCTTCAGTTGAGTCTACACCAGTCTAAGCTATTTAACAGCATTTTTGCAGCCATATTATTTAAGTCCAGAGATAATTCACACCACCATATGCTTAAAAAAGGCATAAATATGTTCGTATTCCCCAGAAATGCTTGCTGTACTTTCGTCTGGGATTGCTTTTTGAAGAGCTCCTAAAAACCAACACGCATCTGCCACACAAGCAGCGAATCTCTTTTTACCTTACAGCATTCCCGGCAATGGCGTGACGCAACCTTCACTCCTCAGCCAATCAGATGTCAACTTCCAATTTCGTCTGTGACCAGTGACGTTGTCTTTAGCCCGAGGCAGGCGCACGAGAAATTAGGGGCGGAAATAAGAAAGTGTTCATAAATTCAGTGTTGTCAAGAGAGAACTCAACAGTCGCCATTACAATATTCTGCATTTTTTGCTTTGAGGCGGTCGCGCGTTGACTTGTTTGTCCCGATGACGTTTCAAACAATCGATTAAAAATTCACACATCCCGGCCAACACCTAAGATAAGTACCATATATTATTCTTTCTTGGTTCAGCAAAGTTGCTTGCACAAAATACTATAGCGTCAGTCCACGGTAATATAATCTATGCGCGTTATTTAAAAACTCTGTGAAAGTGTGTCAAATACTAGCTGCCTCGATAATGTATAGGAAAATTGAACTGCGCTTCATACCATGGTCTGTCGTCCTGTTCATAACCATCAAATGAATATAAGGAGTTGATCCCTGATGGGCCCTGTTCAAAAGGCAACGATATCAAATTATTTTAATGTTTCCCTAACTTAACCCAAATAACTAAAGATGATTTCAAGACTAATAACCCCTGTACGTTTTCATTTACTCTTTCTAGAAAAAAATACCCACACACAAAAAGAAATCTATTTTTAAGAATTGCTTTCTGCGTTTCACAGCCGAGCTTTAAGTTACCTAAGACCTCTGAATGAAGACTTGAGTTCTTTTAACCTATTCGTTGTTCTGTTATTATTTTAATTTGGAATGAGGCTAACCTTGAAAAAAAAAACGTCCTATGCATGTTGGGCCCGCAGTAACTGGCGCTCGCCGTTGCTTTGTCCCCGCCTGCTTTTTTTTCAGGCGCTTGGAAGTCATGGGCGGACGGAAAAACGGAGCGCGCTTGGGAGCCACGCGAATCTTCCTCGTGCGCCACGTTTTTTCTCGCGCCCATTACTTCCCCTGCTATGCTAAGAGAGGCACTACTAATAAGTTTTCAACCATACACGTGATATTTTACTCTCAAAGGAATAAAAAGTAGTCTTCATTTAACCCTGGAATCAACTTACCGAAGGTGAATCGACTGGCTGTTGCACTGTAAGAGATGGTACGACCACTTTATCCACGTTTTCGTTGACACCATGATGCGGAGGTTTTCTAGAAACTTGTAAGTATCTAAGCCTATGAGTATCAAGGGGCTCCTTTCTTACAGTATCTTTGTCACGCAACGTTGTCCTTACAACACCCGCGTTTGTCGATACAAAACCATTATCAAGCGATACTGTTCTTACAGGTGGTTTTGGAGGTACACGCGGTCTTTCATCAGGATTTTGTTCATTTGAATTCGTTGGAGTGTTGACTTTAAGCGATTCATTCCACGAAACAGTTTTCTTCGTCCTAATCTCCCTGCTGGACAATTGTTCAGGTACATTCGTCGATGAGATCGCTGCCTTTTCGCTGTTTTCTTTCGTTCGATTTGCTGAATTAAATCCTCGGCGATATCGGGGTCCATTACTCCGCTGACCATTGCGTTCATCATCGCTTTCTGAGCTAAGCGTGCTGTCAGAACTAAAGGGCGATAATTTACGTCTGTTTGCAAGCGACCTTAACCTCGAAGGTGTCCCTGCTCTGTCCTCACGGGCGGTTCCCTTTTCCTGTTTGGCTCTGTTTGTCTTCATTTTGTTTACCTCGTTCAACTTTCCCGGAGTGCCGGAAGTCGGTCGGCTTCCTGACGTGGAATCTGTCCGAGCAGGAGAATGGGAGCGGGAGGATGAAGGGGAGTAAAATATATCACGTTGAATGACTTGGAGACTGGGAACTGGAGGATAAAAAGAATCAAACCGTGAGGAAAGCCATTCTTAATTTGGTCTTTGGCACCAAGGATTCTCCCTCCCCACCTAAGGGACTAAATGGCCGTCAGCTCACCCCCCTGAGCTATGCAATTATCCTGAAAATCATTATCAAAAGAAGCCTGATTGAGCTGGGTCGGGCCACAAAAAAGAATTAAAAAAGGCGTGACACTGAAATGTCAGTGACAAGCGCCCCTCCCTACTCCACTGCTCTTGCCCTACAACCCACCACCCACCCACTGTCAGGGGTGTCCCTGGGTTATCTCCCTGTACCAGCCATGAAGGAAAGACCCCTCAAAGCTTTGGCACAGCATTGGCTTAGAGCCGGGCTGCAGCGAAAACCTATTGGCCATGTTTTAACAAATTCACACAAAAAAATATTTTTTTGAATATCCATGTACATCATCCCCTATCAGTAACGCTACCACTCCTAGAGCAAGTATGGACTTGATTCTATTTAACTTCACACGGGTATTTTGTATTTTCAAGATAGGTTACTGTCATGTTGTTTCACTCACGAGGATTCCTCTTGAATTTGGCCTTTGGCCATCTCCGGGAGTGAAAGAGTTTAAAGGTGATGTTACACGGAACAATTCGCAACGACGAGCTTTTACGCAACACAGCGTAGCAATATTAGAACAATGTTGCAACCATTCGAAACAATGTCGCAACAATGTTGCAATGATGTGTTGCAAATCTTCCCGTGTAACATCACCTTAAAGGAACTTTTCTGTAAAGGGAAGGGAGAAAAAGAAGGGATAAGGGTATATCCCTGCGCGTTTGCCTTTATCCTTCTTCACTTTCTCGAATTTGTTGCTGCGCACACTACTGTTCGCGCCTCCAAGCGTTCTTTTGGAGGATGTAGTCACTCTGTTGATGTCACGCGGATTACACTTATTATTTTGATTAGGAGTGAGAAAGCCACAGGGTACCTTTTCTTGGTTCTTCTACAGGCACAACATCACTCATATCCGTTATGGGCTTGATTCTGATCAGCGGTGATTCTTGAACCTTTTGCGCATGCTTAGACATGACCAGTCTGCGCGTGTTGGCAGCGATCTGTCTCCTGAAATCAGCAACACGATTTGGTTAGAAAGTTAGTAAAAATGAGAAAAAATGACGCAATTATACTGTGCCATCAGCTCAACTGCTCAACAAAAATCACAGTTAATGGGAATTGCTCGTCTTAAAAGCTTCCTCAAATTCTGCTCGCTTCATTTTATTTTCTGCTCCTGTTGTGATAACCGAAGAAAATAACTGCAGCTATTTTCTTGGTGATTACAGGGAGTAAAACTTAATAAGTGTAATGACAATTACAATGACAAACATAATCGATCGATTTGTTGACTATACGTTAACCTGCGAGCAAGCTCTCCTGGGCGCTCTGGCGGCGCGGCGGGAAAAGGAAGGAGAGCTTGCAACTACGTCTCTAGATTTGAACATCTGCATCGAAAAAGTCGACGCGAAATATTGATTGGCGGAGATGACATTAGTAATGACGTCATTACCATTGGCACGTGTTTTTCAATGTTTGTTTACATTCGCGCTCGTTTCCGCTTCGCGAGTGATTCACAAAAATCTGACATCTCAGTCGACGGGGAGCCACGAAAGAATTGGAGTGGAATACAAATTCCAGAGCAAGCTGTCCTTCCTTTTCCCGCCCCGCCACCTGAGCGCCCCAGAGAGCTTGCTCGTAGGCTATGACTATACCGATTAGCCATACTCACGCCATAACTTGTTGCATATCGGAATGTGTATCAGGCAACGACAACATTGGAGACGACGAACCCGAGCCAGTAGAATCAATACTTCCCCTCGCTCCCAGTCCCCTTTGTTTCTTCAGGGCTTCAAAATGACGCGCACTTTTCACTTCAGACTCCTTATTCACAGTTGAAATTGCATGACCGCTTAGCCTGCTGGGAGGTGTCCTGTTTTCAAAGTTATGGTCAGATCCGTTAAAGTGATACTGGTACGCAGATCTACAAAAGAGCAAAAGTTAGTTTGTAACTGAGACAAAACAGTATTCAGAATTCTTCCCTGAAAAAAACAAACAAGATATGATCCTCCGAGCAAACTGGGACCTTTCAGAATTACGTGCCTCGGCTCCAGGACCTAATCGATTTAGGAAATGATATCGCGAGATAGTACTGGACACTAATAGAGTACTCTGACATGTCCATGTAAGATACATTGAATGGCTCCGTGGCCTTGAAATAGGAGGATTCAAGAGGGTTCCAGGTTGAAGTATCGCGATAATAACGTTGAAATATCGTCACAGAGTGTTTGCATCGTCAGTTTCGACGGTCCAAACCAGCCCACGGAAAACACCTATCTGGTGACACTTTTTTGCTACCGGGCTTTTGTTCTAACTTTCAGTGGTGTGTATGTCAGTGTTTTCGAGGCCCTCGTTTTTGCCTATCCACCAAAACGCAAAAATACACTTCCGTTTTCAAAATACTTTATTGTGAGAGCGCCTTCGAAAACCTCTTTTTGTCAGGTCTTCGTTTTGGTCTGGGCGAAAGGAGGAATAAGAAAAGGAGTGAAATAGAGACCTCATGCATTAGGTCTAAATCTTAAACCTTCGATCAATGAGATAAAATAGACAACAGATAGACAACAGTCCTCATTCACCTTTCATGTCCGAATCCCTTTGGACTTTCGCCATCGGGTGAGCCGCTGGCCCGACTTCTATCGCTACGCGGGCTGTCTGTTACTGTTGTACTCAGTCTGTCATCATATTTTGTAACTCCAGTGCTGCTAGTGTCACTCTGACAACAAGAAAATTACCAACAAAATCCATGGATAAAACCTGGATGCCACCGGACTGGGAGTTAGGGTTTTCAGGAGTGTGCTAGTAAATTGAGGAAATGCCTTCAACAAGAGCAAGACGGGAGTGGGTGCAGACTGCGAGCAGTTTCTCATTTTCCTTTGAGTCACAGTAGATTAAGAGCACGCCCAAGGGTCAAGCAGCGAAAGTTCGAGCAAGAAAAAATAAGAGTCCTCCATTTTCCTATCTCCGCCTTTACCTCTCTCGCCAGGAGCCCATGTCCCATAGGCTCCTGCATTTGCATAGTATCATCTTTTTGCTCGCCGCGCGTGGCTCTCAGGAAAGGAGCACGACTGCTTGCAGTATAGAGTGGGAACAACTTTCTTAAACTCTGTCGCTAAAAAAACTTAACTTGCAGGTAAACCCTTAGTTTCGTACATTACAAGCCTGGGGTGCGGCACTCAAGGGAAGTTTGGGAAGAAATGTGCCGCTAAGCCATCAAGACCCGACACTGTTTAAGACAAAAATTACTCATTTTGCCACTCTGTTTAAAACAAGAATCCTTACTTTATGACCCTGATTCGTTTCGTTTTGCATACAGAATTAGCTAATTCTTAAACTAATATCAGGGAACTTGCGTTTTTACATTCTTTTAAAGTCTTCCGGTCAAAAAACGCACTCTGTTTACTAAGACGCTAAATAGTGATTGTCTAAGTCTCAAGAACCTAAAAACTATACCCTGTTCAGCGGCACATACTCGTATAGGCCAAATAAGGGAGTTCCCACCCCCCCTCCCCCGATCACAAGCAACCTTTACCTGATCTCCTCCAACAGCTTCCGGTCTGTCTGGTATTCCAGACCTTGCTCGACTTTCAAGGACCTGTAATGAAAATCGTTAAACAATTACGTGCTGAACTTAAGACCAATGATACACGAAATAAAGGTTGGGGCAGATTGTTGCAAAGCAGTGGTGCTTTTCAAGTCAAGATAACTATCCATGCGCGCAACAAATTTTATGTTATAAAAATCCTCAAAGAAACACGCACCGGCTAAGATCCAGAGCGGGGTCATTATATTATCATAATTCAAGCTCCCTATGTCACAAGTATGCTTTATCGAGATATAAGCACGCAAGTATGTCACCAGTGCGAGCGCAAAAAAGCCTTCTTCCTCGGTACATAAATAGAGGCCTTCAGATTCGAGAACGAGGACGACTGCGAGGAGGAGATCTATTTGACTTGAAGTGTTTTTTCCGTGCATTTCCCTAGACTGCGAGCAGTCTCTCTTTTTCTTCAGATTTAGTGAGGGGAGTGCACGCGCGCCTTCAGTCACGCGCGTGGTCATTTATGTGTCTCGTGCGTTTTGCTCGAAGGACTAAGAACTCGTAGTCTATGTATTCTCAAAAAGGACACCAAGAAAAGCTTCATTTTAATTTTTTGTCACCAGAAAAGTTGACACGGTTATTTTTATTGCCCTCTCCCGATCATAAAACTGAAGTTCAAACATTTGATAACTTGTTTCCGCACGACATTCTTGCTAAACACGTAGAAGAAGGACGACGGCTACCACGTTTTCCCGCCAAAACTGACGCTTGTTCACGCGCGCACACTAGTTATATAAGAAAAATCTCGTTTTCTTAGTCATACTAGTCTTAGAATCTGAAGGTCTCAAATATAAAAGAGTCAAACAACGACAACAAAGATAACAACTTGCCTCCAATCTTTGTCTGAGTTCTTTATTTTCTTCTTTGCAATCTTTGAGTTCTTTGTGAAGCTTCGCTATTCGCACGGAAAGTAACCAGCATGATTCTTCCATCACCAAATACCGGGCACAACTGGTTTGACCAGCTGAGTATGCATAGTCGGCGGGAGATCGGCCATCTTTGTCTGGAATAGTGACGTCAATGTCATGATCGACAAGAGTCTGGATACAAGTCAGGTGACCTTCTCTTGCTGCAACGTGAGCGAGTGTGACACCTGAGGAATCTGTGACACCTGGAAGAGGAAAGAGCAAAAAGTATTTTTAGAACCAGTTCATATGAGCTCAGTTTCGACATCCACCGCTCTTTCCTTTGAAAAACATTGTTGTGTTCATCAGTAAAGGCGACAAAGATCTCGGTAACTGGGTGAGGAATTCTGCCACATGAACACTCCACGCAGCTCCACGATGACTTGAAAGCTCGCCTTGTTCATCGCGCTAACAGGACTAGATTTCCCACATAAAAAGAAGGCGAAATTCGTCCCGCTAAAACCGGGGTTCAACCGCCAGTGAAGATGTACTTATACACTGGACTGGAGATAAAACGCCGGTAAGTTGCATAATATTTGTCTTATAGACGTTCAGAGCTACTCTGGCTACCTCCCCCCCGCTTGTGATGATGATGATGATGATGATAATTATTATCATATTTGAAAAAAACAATATCGTAAACAGGTTAATGCCAAGCAGAGAAAAACACACTACTCAGGTTACTAACCAAGTTCCAAGTATTTATCCTTGACATATGCTAACAGACACTTAAGGCAGTCATCTTGACCATTTTGAATTGTCAAGTGAAACAATGCAAATCCACTGGTAACATCTGCCATTTCATCCGCAGCAGAGGTGTCTTCAAGCAGCCACTGTGCACACTGGACACTACCATTCTAAGTAGAGGAGGTTAATGTGAGATAGGTAAAAGTTCACGTGCAATAACGATGAATCTACCCCCTGAGGAAAGGGTGGGAGAAGGAGTAATGTCATACGTACAGTGTAGGCTAGGTGGGTATGTTGGCTGTGAAGAGTTTTGGTTTCAAGAATTTTAGTCTGGCCAGGAGAATACAGAGGTTTCCACTAGCATAAGGTGCTTATTATGGGAAATTGAACGGTGGTGTGAGGAGTCTGTTTACAGTTATGTGTAGCATGGGATAGAGGGAGTGCGGCTTACAAGTGGAGGATAGGGCTAGGGCTGCAAAATGCAGCTGAATACATTATTAATTGATAAGGGCTCAGTAGCACACCACCCTGCTAGCAGAGTATTTTTTTCGCTATCAGTCTCGACTTTGGCGAGCGATGTTGAGAAAGATTCTGCATGAATTGAATAAGATCTTTGTCGAGCATTGTGCTACTTGTTGCTGGGATACAGATTCAAACTCAGGCCTGATAGCTGTGTCCTTTGTGCAGCAGGCATAGTTATGACCATATATAATATTGGTTTTTCAATTAACGGATGCACACATTCTGAAAACCAGTTTTAAGAGAGACAACTAGATTGAGTAGTCGAGAAGTTCAGGCTTCAATGACTTCAAAGGCTTGACGTGATTCAGGTAAACCCTCCTTCTCTCCTCTACACTCAAGAAGAGAAACGAAACAAAAGCTCTGCTAACAGGGTGTAGTATCACTCACTCACCCACCCACCCACCCATACATTCACATAATAACTCCAACCAGAAATAAGCCATCAATAACAATACAAAATGTAAGTAAACCACAATGTTACTAAACAGTAACTTTTCTGATCATCTTACCTTGAGTGCTGCAGCAAGAGGAGTAAGATTTTCATGGTTGATGATATTCCTCAAACAGTCATTTGGTAACTGTCTGACAAGCCACTGAAGACATGGAAGGTTATCAGCTTCAGCAGCCCTGTGTAATGCTGTGTTGGCATCAGAATCTGTAAATCTGATAGTTAATTCACTTGTTCCACCAAGCCTGCCGTATGCCTCTTGCTGGTCAAAGAAATTGAGATGATAATATTGATAGTCACAATAATAATTTATTAAATAATTTAATGATGATAATAATAATATTATATGCCATTTACAGAGACAAAGTAGCTATTTAGGAGTGCAGCAAATTTATTGGTGTTAAGTTTTCAAGAAGATCGGGAGAACTCCTGAGCACGTGGTTGTCAACACTGACCAGTTTCAGTGCATTTGAATTCTTTAGTTCTGTCCAGAAACCAGCAGAAAATAGCAGCTTTTTATTCTAGCTCGGGTTTATTCCAGGAATTGGATAACAAGAGTACCATGTGCCTCTGAAGTTTTATCATGCCCTTTTCTAAGGTTGAGGGCCCCAAGGTTTATAAACATTTTGTACCAATTGGTTTGAAACTAATTTTTTTTCGTTGAACAATGCACTTTTTTTTCCTTTGTCATAAATGTACATTAATGTCATCATGACTGTTTTTAATCAACGCTGCCTTTTGACTTTTATATTTGACCAACTGCACTTTAATTCAGTTTTTTTTAAAATTAAAATAATGACTTTATGGTTTCATATACAAGTATTTTATAGCTCATTGAAATAAGGCATGGTTTATCTTGGTTTCAATCCATTGGGTAACAGTATCTAGTTAAAATAACATGTTAAATTATTTTTTAAAAAGTAACTTAATTACCATCTTTTTCAAGTCTCCATCTTGAGCAGCATCCAAGAAAACATCTCTCCATTCATCCTTGCTTGGTGCACCACTCAAACCAAACTTACTCCAGTTGTTCACCTTGGAAATGGATGCCTGCATCTTGGACATTCTCATCAACTTCTCCCTCAGGTGAAATGGCGAGTTTTCTGAGCCATTAATGACAGCATTCTCTTTTACAGTGCCATTGGGTGGCGATGCCAGAAATGCTGCATTCTGATTGGTTGGAAGATATGAATGATTCCTTGTGATGACATTTTCTTGTCTTAACTCAGATGGGATGTTAAGAAGTGATGCAGTGCTGGCGACTGAGTTGTAGTCATCAAAGTCATACTCCTCTAAATCACACTCCACCTTTAAAACGAGGTATCAACAAGAGATAAAACAAAATTAATGAGTATTATACTGTGACTAAAAACACACTTGGATAAAACTTGAACTCTAGTAATAACAAAACAAAACAAAAAACAAACTTTATATTAAACCTTTGTCCAGAGACATTTACTGGGCTCAACAAAAAACGTGTCACAAGTTAAAAACAAAGAAAGCAAACCAAAGAACTCGCCAAAGTTGCAAATGCTTGAGAATAGAAAGCAGGTATTTAAGCCCACATGGTAAAGGTCAGCAGTGCTCTTAAACCACACGAAAGTGAGCCAAAATGTTCTACTATCATCTGGGGAGATTTTAAGCCCTATATCTGAGTGAAATAGATCTGCTGACAACATGATATTACCTATATGATGATATCATTAGTTTGAGAAAGATGGTTATGACAGCTACCAAAAAAAATTATAAAAACAATAAAAACTAAATTAAAAATGTCAACATCCATCAAGAACAAAATTTGGCTATATCTAAAAAATTGACGTACAGTGAATTAATACTGACTTTGACTTTCAAATACAATGTATTAACTGTATTTCAATGTTAACATTATTGGAAAGAACAACATAAATTGTCTTATCCTTGCAGTATCCAATTTTCACCAGAAGGGGATCACAGACAGTTTGATTTTCAAGTAGCAAGATCAATGAACACTGTCAAAATCTGTCAGGGCTGGTGATGAAAGTGAGTTGCCTACAAGAGGCTCCATCTACAATACTCTCCCTGGGAAGGTTGTCATGCAAAATGGAAGAGAAACCATCAACAAAGCAACAGAGGGCATCATTATAAAAAGGGTAATTAAAGGGACACAGTTAGCTGATGCACATGTGCATTAGATACCATTTCTTAGCTGATTTGCGTGTCACAAGACGCGCTTGTGAAACAGGAAGCGAGAAGCATATCGGTCCGGACTACTCAAAACAAACCTTGGAGAGTTGAACTAGTTACAAGCCCAAATCATGATTACAGACCCTAAGCCACATCAGATCACACATTGTTTATATACCATTGAGAATTCACCGATGGATTTGTTCCAGGAAAAGCCAAACATCAATGAATACTTCTGAATTCAATCATCAATAGAGGTGAGAAATGACACGGAGTTGGCATGGATCATTGTTGAAGGTTCAAGATCGAAGAGCTTGATTTTCCAAACATAGTTAACCTTTTCGATCGATTTTACATATAACGATTATTTGCTCGCCAGTGTTATTGATTCATTTCTTTTGTGATTTTGGTAAACAAAAGCGATTTCTTCCGCCCGGCTGTTCATGTTTCTTTGGATACTGTTTTTAACCAGATATGATAAAATAATGTAATAGGATGAGTTAAAGTTTGTCAAAAAGAGGTTTTCTGTAAAAGATAAAGGATCGAATGAAACACTAGGCAAGATTGAAGTGGATTTCTAGATGTAGCAGATGCATTCATTTGATTTCGGGCTGAGGTAAACTCTTTTCAAACTGACAAAAGTAGTGTCCAGGTCAGCATGGTCACATGGCTGACTGTGTCTCTTTAAAGGGAACCTCCACGTCAACAAAAAGATAACTTTAAATCACAGGAAATAACTGTTACAGTCAAGTCAATCTAAAATATTTTTAAAGAAAGCGTTTGTATCCGAAAGAAATAACTTTTAGATTCGCTTTTTTTTGTTTTCAAATTTTGCGGGCGTCGCCATCTTGAATAATTGTGAAGTGTTACGGTTGCCCTATTGTTATTAAACAAAAGCTCTTTGTGTCAGAACAATAGAGCAACCGTAACATCACTTTTCCTGATATAAACACTTTTTTTAAGGACAAATTTCGAACAAATTTGTTTATCAACATAATTTTATTCGATTTAAACTTATTCTGTAGTAAGAGTGGAGGTTCCCTTTAAGCACTGGTATTAATTCAAACTGACTGATTTGGGTATTATAAACTGCTTTTTTTTTCATGCAATCATGTACGTGTATGATGTACCTGCAGTGATTCAAGATTTCCATCAAGCACTTTCAAACACTCATCCAGGTATCTCTCATCTTGTTCGAAGCTCCGTGGCTCATCAACTGTACTTCCTTCTTCTAAGATATTAGTGAGGATAAGATCTCTTCGTTTTCCGGATCTGTGTTTGATATATACAGAACATATTTGATAAAATTATAATGAAAAAATTTGTAATAAAGAGAATCAGAGCACTGCGATCATGCAGGAAGCATTAACTAACCTATGACCTTCTGGTCACTACATGAAGTCCAGACGCTCTACACCATTAAGCCACAAGTCAGACTAGTGGGAACAAAAGGCCACTAGTCTACTTAAGCCTGCGAAAACACTCATCTCTCCTAGCTCCTCGCCGCTAGGGAGCATTTCTCCCTTTCTCTGAGCCTCAGTGACAGAAATTCTGTACTATGATGATGTACATCAATACATAATATTAATTATTATTAATCCAGTAGTTATAGGGTTCCAAATGTAAATTTGTTTGATTTTAGGTTTTTCCTACTCGATTATGGTAAAGCTTTGTGTTCTTCCAAAAACAAGCTCTGGCAAAACTCAAATGCTTCTTCTAGAGAAGAATATTATATTCCATGAATATTAACTGCAATAGATTCATTGCGTTTACATTTGACCTTTGTGGCCTGCCTTTTGTCAATGGTCTGTCATTCGGAGCTAAAACAATATAGGGTAACTATTATGTCAACCAATAATAATTATTATCGGAGTTCCTGACCAGATTCCAGACAGATTTCATCAGTATGGAATTTCTGCCGCTTAGGTGCCAGATGTCTCTGGTGGCGAAATGTCCTTAGCGATGAGGAGCAAGGAGAGATGGCAATTTTTTGGCCCATACAATAATGGTCTTCACCAATTATAACATATAGAGAACTGCCTCACAGTTAACCACCATTGCTGGATTGCATGACAATTGAGCATAGCACTCTCAATGCAGGTTTTGAATCTGTTTGTAACAGCAGAAAATTTACTTCATTAACTCACTAACAGAAGAGAAAAACAAATTTTCACACAGATCATTTACCTGTGTGGACTGTTTTCAATTCCATAAGACTCTTGATTACTGTGAGAAGATGCATTGGTGGATTTTCCAGCTTTAATATTTCCTTTGTACGCCTTCAACATCTGAGTCATTAGGGTTTGTCAGTTCCTTCATCCCAGTGATCTTCAACATTCATCTCTTGTGTAAATCTTGTGTTTCCTTTCAACTAAATCATTGAATAAATACTTCTATTTGACCCTGCATACACAAACATAAAAACACAATCTTTTTCAACTAATAATGTGCAAAATTATTACATATAAAAGGTGATTATTATGTTTTAATGTAATATGTTATTGTAAAGGATTGCTATATTGTTATGGTGAACCAACTACTGAACCTTTTAAGTGCAAAAAAATGTAGCACTAATAACTAATTTCTTGCCAGGATTATAAGCTTACTCCCATAACGTGGATCTTACTTTGTGTCAATAATAATCAACAGCTTTGATACTATGTATTTGTGGTCTATATAGTGTTCAGATGAAATAATTCAGTCAAGAAGGAGTACTTTCCATATTTTTCTTACATTGACATTAAAAACTTAGCAACTAATATAAATGATATTATTTTTATGACTATAAAAGCAATATTTATTACAGTTACTTAGGTTATATCTATATCGGTGGGCCTCTTCACACAGCTGTTTCAATGCTGGTATTTTAACATCTTGAAAAAAAAATACTGAAGGATTCACATGTAGGGGCTGTTTCCTAATTAAAATGACTTGTGATGCTGGGTTTATTGTTGTTTGGTGAAAAATATTGATTTTAAAAAGAAGGGCATGTATTGTGCCATTGGTTTGACGAGTGAGATCTGGAAGATTTATCTAATTTCTATGCATTATGAACAAGAAATGCAAGTTACCAATAACTTTCTTCCTATGGGATAGATTAATTACTAGTGACAATAATTTAAGACAGTTTTATACTATATTCTTATATCACTGAATGATATTGCCAGAAGACAGTTCATTCTTTTTTACATTGCCAGCTATTCTGGCACATCTGTACGATAGAGTACTAAAGTGATGACGTCATAAAAATGAAATTTCTGAAATTATGGGATTTGTCAGTATATTCTGAAAGAACAATGTCCAAGAGGCCTACTTGCCAAAAATGAGCATTTCGCGGCAAATTTGTCTCTGAGATCGTAGCCCAGTTATACTCAGAAAACTCCATACAAACCCTTCTAATTTTTTTTTGGGTTGACCCAAAAAAAATTTAGATGGGTTTGTATGGAGTTTTGTAAGCATAACTGGGCTACGATCTCAGAGACAATTTGCCCCCAAATGCTCATTTTTGGCTTGTAGGCCTCTTGGACATTGTTCTTTCAGAATATCCTGACAAATCCCATAATTTCAGAAATTTCATTTTTATGACATCACACTTTAGTACTCTATTGAACTTCAGGTAACTTTCCAGTCATGAAATAGGTTCCAATGCTAACAGTGGAGCAGGCAAGGAGACAGCATGGCTCAGTCTGGAGGACATATAGGATTCTACGTGTAGTTCTGATCTGGTCCTGCAAGTATAGTTGCCTCTTATCACTCCCCACCACTGGGCATGTTTTGCAAAAGAGATGTCTGCATTTTGGCCTTATAGCAGTGTTAATGTACATGTCATTTGTTCCAGATGCAAATTTGTTTGAGTACCTGGTACCTGGTTTTGCTGCAAACTTTGGCCCCAGCAAAGCTCAAATCTGTACATTGTATTTTTCTGTCATTTTGCAAAAAAAGGCTGTAAGAGTATTAAACCAATCAGAGCTCCTGACCAGACTGTGGACGGATCACGACTAGAATAGATTTTTTCTGCCCTGGGAAATTTTTTAGATTTTAACTCCCCAAAGTCCCCTTTCCTGGGTTTTCGAGTCATTCAGACAGGATTATTGATGTCGATATTGGCCAGTTCCATTGACCTTGGATGAAGCCTTGCAACTTCAAAAGTTTTTCATTAAAAATATGTATCTATTAAGAAAAATCTGGCTGATTTCTGTAAAACGGTGGAAACCAGTGTAGATCCACGCCTGCTACCAAAAAAGGTCAATTTTTTATATTAAAGCTATATGAATATGCAAAGTTCACACACCATGGAAAAAAAACCCCTGGACACATTATATAAGCTTATTTATTTTGTAAAAGTCATTAAAGAGCATACATGCAACAACATGATCAGACTGTTTACTGACAGTAACCTTTATTAATTTTAAATAAAAGTGTCAAACTCTTCTAGCCGAGCACGAGTGTTCCACCAATCAGGGACACAATAATGAACTGATGATTATAAATTAAGCTGAATATCTTGGTTGTTACGCAGTGTTGAATAGAGGCCGCTATATATATATATATATTCGGCTCATGTTGATTTAAAATCGATCAGGGAGTACTTTATTACGCACATCGTACAATGTACGTAATAAAGCTTGTCAATATGTTCGGAAGTTTCATGTTTACATCACTGCTACCTTTATAATTGTTATGAGCTTTGCTAAGTAAATAAAATCAACGGGAGTTCCAGCATTTTATTCTCAATTGACCAATAAACAAATTATAAACCATAAAACCACATAATAGAAATGTTAAGAGCTTAAAGGTTTCTGTTTGCTAGAAAAAGTTACGAGAAGACCGATATAAGCCTACTTGATACCTAGATTTGATGGCATAATCATAAATATCAAAACATGACAGGCTCGAACTTAACATCGACATTGTTTGAATATCAATTAAGCTGAGTTGAATTTCTAATTTCCAGACCATTCTTCGGTTTTTGAAGTTTCAAAAACGGCGGAACTAAGCGAATAAGCGCTCATTTGACTTAACAGTATTAACGGATGATCAAGTAAGTTCATCAAGATCATCAAGACCACCAGAGAGGACGACAGCATTAGCAAACATTGAGCAAAATACTTTGAATTTGAAACAGACATGACACGTCGTTCGCCGCCGTGCGGATATCACTTGCCTAAAAACAACCAAGTATTTTTCCTTTATGGACTCCAAAGTTAAATTAAATTGCGATTCACTTCTTTTGTCCTTGACATGCCATTCCTCACAAGACAAAACTGTCACGATAAAATGTGCATTCGATTATTAACACAGCAAGCCTTCGTCACACATGCATCAACGCTGTGTACATATTATGAATTGACGTTAAAGCTCAATATTTACTCAATCGTTATCTCAAAATCCTCTTTTTTCACTAGCAGTAGGACAATAAAACACTTACCTTATCATAACTGAAATGAAAGGAAATTTCATATTTTCTAACATGATCCAAACGCGAGTGATCTAATGCAATGGTCGAAAGCGGATTAGCTATTTTTGGCA